TGGATCATGCAATTAAGCAACCTCAACATCATTTTCAAAATAATCTATTGAGTTTGTCCGGACCAATTACCATGGTCCAATTGTACAGAAAAGTCAGTTGCGTTTGAAATCGAAATCTGTGCATATTTGTAAAGTAGATTTCCATATCCAGCACAGTTTTAGTGAAGGGGGTGGGTTCTAACAAGAGCAGCAGTTCCTGTGATCATTCAGAGATACGGGGAAGAAAGAAGAAGAATGTGCCATTCTAACCCTATAGCCGGGTCGGATTAGATGCCAAAAGCCACGCCCTCCTTCCTTTGAATGGGAAATTGGGGTCCGTAAGCACAGGAGTCCCAACACTGTCCCAACTCAAAAGTGCGCGGCAAGGGTGTTCCCTCCTTGTTCGTTGACGCTGCCATCTTCATATCGAGGCATACGAGGCGTTACGCCCATCTCGCGAACGAGTACTCTCTTGTGTTTTCCCTCTCCTCGCGGTGCTCTGTCTCTCCGTCATACCACGACCACTCCACCAGGAGAATTCTATAATGCTTTTTGCTTGTTCTCAACACTCATGCCCTTATCACAGTTCTTGTCCGATATTTGAATAACATAACACACCAATTCAATCCCGGTCTGTATTTTCAAAGCGGACGTTCAGGATAAAGGCGCCCTTCACACTGAAGGAGGGGTGGGCACGGCGCCAGGAAGGGAAAAACGCCATGAAAAAACGGCTAGACACCCCGAAAATGGAAGCCCGCTCCTTACCCTTGCGTTCCGCATTGACTGCGACTCTCGTCGGGCTTCCCTCTCACCACGGCTGAACGCTCTTCCTCTCTCTCTTTCTCTCTCTCTGCAAAACGGTCACAGTCAGACGGAGACAGGGTGGGTGGGCACGTGCGAGTATGGCTCTGCTAAGCTGCTGGGGCGACGATTTAGAGCGAAACTGTGAGACCGAAGAACGCAGCGGTAGTGATCGGGGCTCTCAGGCAAGGTAAGATCGGTTCTCGGTTCAGCGAGCTTCGGAGATGTTTCTTTGGCAACATGATCGAAAATTTTCAAACCGTCTTCCTAGGAAAGAGCCCTTAGTTGTGCCGTGTTTGGCTTACTTTCGTTTATTCATGCTCTGATGGCCCCTTGACAGTTCCCCTTCGTGTTCGAGCGGAACAAGAACATATGTCTTATATGAAAAGTTGGAAGCCCTTAAGGCCGATGTCAGACTTTGCGAATCGCGCGATTCGCTACTAGCGATTCGCGCGATTCGCTAGCGTCCGCGGTCGCGTTGCGGTACCAGCCAATTGAGTGATTCACTGGCCGCGACGCGACCGCAGACGCTAGCGAATCGCGCGATTCGCAAAGTCTGACATCGGCCTAAGTGGGCCGTGTGAGCTGTAAATAGTTAAGCATAGCGGCAAGAAAAGCAGGCCAGCAAACCGATCCTGTTGCCATCTGAATTCGCTTGCGTGACAAAAGCAGCAACATATCGAAAAGACTTCACCAAAGTAGGCTTCCTAAAATTCAGCTTTCTGGAGAGGAAAGACATCATGTCATTGAACCCATGACCTCGCATTCATCTGCTTCACTGTCGACTCCACCTTAGTACTCTCACATGAATTGCATTGCTACGGAAGCTGCAAAGGAAACCACTGCTCCAAGAAAGTCGTCTAGATTTGAAGAACTTACTGGAAATAAAGGTCTAGTTAAATGAGGAAATATTAACTGTGAGCTCAAAATGCGATCGCATCCCCGCATGATCACTAAGTTGAGAAATTGAGAACTTTCTTCTGTGAATGGGACTAAAGTGACGCAGACAAGATTGGAAGACAATTTGGAGGCCATCTTTATTTGAGATCATTTCATCTATGTACAACATATGAGGCACAATTCAGTAAACTGTGTGAGAAGTCAAGAAATAGGAGGAACAGTGTGCAGATCACGCAGGAGACCCATCGATACCCAGTCTCGAATCCTAGACAACGTCTTCGGTTTCTCATTTATCTAGTGATTTTGGATGCGTATCTTATAAATGAACTCTCCCAACAAGAGCTAAATGTAGAGGGAACTTTTCCAGTGATAAGACATGCGGACCCCTTTAGGATGCTAGCCGAAGTGCAGTTCGCAGCAAAGGACATGCCCCGGTGACCTAGCATGCCGTCCCGCGCCGCTATCGACGCGGCACGCCCACCGACTGGCTAACCACTCGCCGCAGGTCTCTAGCCGTTAGCAGAGAGAGCGTTAGCGTTGAAGAGGAAGCACCGATGAGAGTTGCACCAATGGAGGATTCAACAAGCAAGGAAGGGGTCCCATTCCAGGGTTCTGGGAATTTTCGCAGTTTTTTATTCGCTCCGGCACCACCGAACAGCTTTGCCATGATTCTAATGAGCTGCCTTCTTCCTTCAAGTCACACATAAAACTCCAACTAGGTAACGCAAAAAACGCTAATCATTTCGGATATTCCTAAAACTGTTACTTCATACTTAGCATGCTGTCTTGGGAGGTGCGACTAAGTGTCGCAAAAATCTAAAATCTTAGGTTCAAAGGCGTGATGAAGAGGGACTGCGCATGAACGAACCCACACTGGGTAACAACCCAAGTAACAATATGTAACAACAAAAGATAACAAAATCAAAATAAACAAAATGTATGAGTCGACTAGTATGCTCCATCATCATCGCCAGCCCGAGCCAATGACTGCGCAGCCTTAATAAAATTACATTGGGAAACCAATACAGAAGGAAAATCCAATTAAATGTTAATGCCCAGCAAGAGTGAAGAAATTTCGGAAGACAAACCTTGGTATTGATTCCAGCCAGCTTAGGACAATTCGTGATTCGATGGCCAAGACCAGAACAATAGGCACAGCCCTAAATAATACCATTATATGAATACCTATTAGGTTTTCCATATAACTCTGTCAGCCCTCACTGCCTATCTGCGACAGTGGACCAGGACAACCGAAATTTGATGAGCCCTACCCATCCTTGGTCATAACTGTACCCCATGGGTTTTGAATACTCCTCATTCAATTGTATCTTTTCATTTTTCCTGTTTTACAAATAGCTCCCAAACCATCTCGTAAATTTTGGGTTTTGGCTCCGCTACTCAGTACAGACCTTATCTATGAGTTTCCCTCTTCCTAGCCTATAACCACTTTTCTATCTATGGACACACTCGGAACGGAATTAAAGATTCTCCGCGACCTTCCACTCGTTCAACTATGCCTGCCCACATTGATAACATGCTCGCACACCAGTTTCTGCCTTGTAGACCATCTTATCAATTAACATTTATGAATATTTTCTAATCAGTGCCACCCATAATTTGCCCTATAAAACTGGTTGCACAACATACCGCTTTTACAGTTCACGCTCTCGGAGTTAGGTGCGAAATTTGGCGCTGGACATCACCCAGTTCGGTGCATGCCCCGCCTCGCGTGGGCTGAACTCAGTGTAGCTGATGTGTGTTTTGTATTTCTTGACTCATACCCTACCCATCTCAAACTTGACCCAACCTCTCCGAATGATTCTTCAGGTCATACCGAATTTCGTGGCACACACAGGCAGAATTAACGCATTAGATGCAGTGGTGATGCATTGAAACCGTGGGAACAATGTGGATGTGCATCATAATGAAGGGAAAAAACGATCATTTGATTGCCGCCCTCTTTCAAGTGAAAAGTAAGATATCTGACCTTGTCATCGGCGTTATCTGTTGGTGCTTCTTCAGCTTCTCCAGCCAAATCTCGAAGGAACGCTGGCAACTCCTGACCAGCTTCAACAAGCAGCTGCTTCAAATCTTGCATTACCGAGAGGTCTGGAACAATATGCGGTAAGATTGAACCTAATAACGAATAGACAAGTGATTGCTAGCGCATTCAACGATAAAGCTCTAACCTGCTTTCCTATTGATAAATGTAGTCGCCATACCGCGCTTACCCGAACGACCAGTACGTCCTATCCGATGGACTGAAAATAAAGTTAACTGGATTGATGAACGTCTCCCCAATCACCTTTGATACTTGGAAGACTTTTCTCAAAAATTGGAATATTAAAACATATTCCAGCGGAATTGATCCAAATAAATTTATTACCGTAGTTTTCAATGTCTTCCGGCATGTCGTAGTTAATTACGTGCTCGATGCCCTAAAATAAGAAAACATCAAAAACATGTTCTCCGAACCAGCTTTTTCAACACACCTTTTAACTTATGATATTTTCTGCTGTCATTGTGCAATTTTTCAACCAATTATGATATTACTACATCCAGCTGCGGTCGTAAACAAACCCTGTAGCCATGCACGCGGAATAGTGCATATATTGTACATTCGAATGCAGGTGATGATTTGATGATTGGTTCCACTTCCCACGCACACTGACCGGGGATCAAATCTCATGTCAAATCTCTCTCATGCCAGCCAATCCCTCCCGTGCGCACCTCCTCATCGTGATAAGGAAAAATTCACTGGTCCCGTATTGGTGTGCGCTATACATTCGACTTTTCTCTCAGAGCAGTGGCTTCTAAAAGGTGTTACGTCCACGCAATAAGTTGGTGGAACAGTTTATTACAAACATAGCCGTAACAGCAGAAAATGACCACAGCACAGTTCCGTTTGCACTGTGATAGTTCAGTTAGGGTTTTCTCTATAACCACTGACGCAGAAAACGCAATTCTCAACAAAGAAAGCGGACCCTTTATGGATTTGAACGAAAAGGCCACTCTTCTCGTTCTGACCACTGAGCTTGCGACTCTTCTCTGCCTGTCACGTTGCTCTCTTCTCCCAAGTGCCAAATATGGCACTCCGCTGAGAATGCCTTAGCGGATGACTTTCCTAGCTTGGAGCACCACTGCATGGATTGTTCAAGATACAGTTTCCTAGTTTTGACTTTTGGAAATACACGAATCAATCTAATTTTTCAATTCATACGGATTCTGCATGCGCTCCTATTCGCATGCACAGTTTGATATTTACATGAGAATTCATAATTATCTTCCTCAAAAAATGTACCTGGAAATCGAGACCCTTCGATGCAACGTCCGTTGCCACTAACACATCCTTCTGGCCATGACGGAACTCGTCTATCCCAATATGCCTGTCACGTTGCTCTGCAATCACAAAAGAAAGCTACTCCTTTGAACAAACGCCGATTCGATAAATGTATCCTGTTAATATTACAGCATTAGTGTGATAGCTCACCTTTTCCACCGTGGAATGGGAAGCAACTTCGACTCCTTTAACCAACAAATATTCGTAAATATTGTCGACATCCATCTTCTTCTCAGCAAATATCAAGACTCTGAATGACAACACAGTTTAACCGCTACAACAGATCGTCGGAGAAAATGGGTACACAACTTCGGTGCGGTCTTCTGTAGGCAATCCAGAACTCTCGTCAATTTATCCTCTGTCCTCACATATTCAATCTCTTGCAATACATTCAGAGAAGCTGCACCAGCTCGTCCAACATTTACAACCTGAACGCTCAAATTGAGAGAAGCACAAAGAAACAGTGGGCGCTTCATCAGAGACGGACTCGCGAAATAGTTACTTAAACACCCAATGGTACCGGATAATTAAAGCAGAATGCTCACCAACATCGAACTAGTGTGCCAAGATTTTGGCCAGTTCTGAATTTCTTCGGGCATACCGTTGCCGAGAAGAGAAGAGTTTGTCGTTGGGCCTAAGAAACCTAACAGTATACAGCAGAAAGCGCAAATTCAATTTTTAACTCACTTTGAAGAAGGCAAAAATTGACTTTAATTCGTCTTCGAAACCCATGTCCAACATTCTATCGGCTTCATCAAGCACTAAGTAACGGCACACCTGGAACGCTATATTTCATAAAAAACACACATCTATGAAAATTTTTGCCCTCAGCGGTAGTAAATTTCAGCAGTTTTTGCCCAAAGCTGCCGAGCTCTTACCAAAAGTAATTGACATGGCAAAGTCGAGCCAATGAAAAAGTTTAACTTTATTGGATATTACCTCCAAATTGAAAGATCTTCTTTGTAAGCATATCTGACAAACGGCCAGGTGTAGCCACACAGACATGAACTCCACTAAAATATGATTGTTCTAAGAGATCATAGCAAGTGAAAAAAGACGGAAGACAGAAGTTTGCTTACTCCTTGAAGACCTGAGCTTGCTCTCGGACAGGAACGCCGCCAATGCATAGGCCTGCTTTCAGCTTAGGCATATTGGAATCACGTTCAATCGCTTGAAATAAGTCCACAATAACGTCATAAATCTGTCTGGCCAATTCTCGCTTAAAAAACAATTTTACGTGCAAGTGTAAGAACATAGACTGAAACCCCTAATTGGTCACAAAAAATCTAGCAGCTGAGTTAACGTCTAGAGCTATCTTGAAAAAAAAGAATATGAAAACAAGTACGAGCTCACCGATGGCACAATGACCAGAAGCATAGGGCCCTTCTCCACGTTCGAACGGCATCATGTACTCCTGCTCCAGGCAAAACATTATCAATGGCAACGCGAACGTCAATGTTTTTCCAGAACCTGTTGACGCTATGCCAATCATATCCCGACCACAGAGGCTGCAGTGGAAAGAAATTTTTAGAAAGTTCAGGTAGTTCCCAAAGAAGGAAGAGGTGAGCTTAGAAGTGAAAACAGTGAACTCACGCCACAGGGATTCCTTGGATCTGTATCGCAGTTGGAATGTGAATGTCATTATCCTTCAGCGCACGTAGGATACACTTCGGGAACTTCATTTCCTTGAAAAGCACAATAAAGTATAGAAATATATGAAGTCTTATATTCTGCATTCTACAGTAGATAAAGCATGTTTGTAGTAGAATATAAGCGAGACAGCTTGCAGCCAAGTAAAACTTACCACAAAGCTCCCAATAGGAGGTGGGCAGTCAATTCCGTCCACACTTATTCCCTTTCTCTTCCTGTAAGCCTCAAAATCCTCTTCCGTTTGGTTCCGAATGTGAGA